CCAACCATAAATGCAGCCTTTGGGCCCCAAGGCAACTTGCCCTTACCTTGCTCCCAGCTTGTGCAGGGAGGAGATGCATGAAGTCACAGCTTCAGTGTTCCAGACCCCAATCTTGAAGACCCACCAGTGCGTTCCACCACAACCACCACGACTCATGCACACATTCTTCAAAGACTGCCTGCTGAAATAGACTTCCCTACGTCACACCCAATGTGATGCTTTCAGTTCCTCTGTCTTTACATGACACCATCTCCAAAACCCAATGCCACCTCCCTGTGGCTCACCTCTTCACAAGACCCCACAGTCAGCACTGAGGGGACATGGCCTTCCCACACACTGCATTTCTCAGCAAGCTGCTATTCCCTACAAAGCAACCTCATGTCTTATAGTGCTGGTTTCAAGACCTGTGTGAAACTGAGTGCCTGGAAAACAGGACAGCCTGGCCCCGTCATCACTCAGTAGCATCACTGACTTTATTACTCATAGCGATGAATTACCCGAAGAACCACAAGGTTGATAAATGTAATTTAAGCCCTATCTTTGCATGCAGTGTTGAACCCCAACTGCACGCAGTGCTGGTGAAATACAAAGCGCCGTCAAACTCCTCTGAGACATTTTAAGTACCTTACAGGGATGTGAAAGATGATGTGAACTCCAGTGCAAAATGAATGAGAGTCCTTATGACTTTCAGTCCACACTGCAACATCATCCCAGCCAGGATATCTATGGATCTCTATCTGACCTCCTTCCTTTTTCTTTCCTTTTGTTGTAGAATTTTGCTTTACAAACCCAGCTAAGCTCCCATGAGGAGGGCTGCAGTGTGCTCCCAACACAATGCACAACACCAGCTCCACTGTGCACACAGCTTCCAAGCAGAGCTGCTGCACTCGGGACTGATTCCACCCACTTGTACACACTGAGGCTCCAGGTCTGCACAGCACTTCAGCTGCTCACCTACAGTTCTGCATCTATTGAGGGAAAGAAACTTGTGGATGTGTTAAGCGGATGGTTGCTGGATGCTGGGGGGGCAGCCCAGAGCTTTGCTGCCAAACGAGATGCGTGAGGCCCTGCTAACGTACCTGCAGCATATCAGCTCTGCTGTGAGCAATAAGGAAGGAAGTCAAAACTTAACACCTAACAAATATTTACAACCAGAAAATCATTTGTAAGTGTTGTTTAAGAAAACCTCTTCGTAACACTATGGATAGGCTTTATCAGATGGAGACTTTCATTTAGCTGTATGAAGTGAGTACTGGTCAAAGCACGATGCTGCATGCTACAGCCCTAAAGGTATCTTTTCCTGCCTGTGGGTGAAGGAACCCCAGTATCAGTGATTTCTGTCAGATCTCTGGCAGTCGCAGCATGTTGGGGGCAGTCAGGCACCTCTCCTTGCTGGATGCTCCCTGGAGTGGACTGTGCAGGCTGTCCTGGCTTGCTCCCAGCAGAAGCCCCAGGCTGGAGCTCTATCTGCTCCTGAGGGACAAGGCAGTGATGAAAGGATTGCCCCCCACCCTTCAAGTGACACCCAAGGCTCCCCACGTCCTACATAAACTATGTCAGCACTTGAAAGCATGCCTGGAGAACCCAGATTCCTCCAAAGGCACACACAGCCCACATCGCTCACATTATTAAAAAAACAAAAACAACTTTGGCTTTGTTTGTTTCTTTCTCTTCATTTATTCCTACTCTGAAGAGATAAATGTGCTGCGTACAGTCAGCAGGTGCTGACAGATGACCAGGCTCCCTGCTGCTCTTCAGCAAGACATCCTACCCACATTATGCCTCATCCCTGCTTTATCCTGTTCTAGGATAAACCTTACTAACCTTCATTTTCACACGGTGAAGAAAAAAGCAGCTCCTTTTCTACAGACAGAGTTGCTCATGATAAATACCTGATGCAGGCAGAAATGGACCAACAGTCCTCTCACACAGAGTTGAGGTCCCAACGCCCTCTTGCAAACCCCCACCCCACCCCTCTGGCCCTCTCTCCCTGCTCTCACACACCAGGTGCTGCGCAGAGCCTGCTGCCAGAGCCCTGCCAAGCAGCCCGGCTGGGAGCCAGGATTACTGACTGCTCCCTCACTGTAAATGTCCTGTGAGACAAAAGTCTCCCCCCGCTGCTGCCACCTGTTTTGTGACAGAAAAGTACAAATAAATCCAGCCTATTATTCCATCTGCCTGCTTTCTCACCTCATTCCCAAGCACATTCTGTAGCATCTACGATCCCACTGGCTTACTGGCAACCAGCAAAATTCTCACATTTTTGCACGCTGTCTCCTACAAGGTTTCTCTCCAAGCCTGTGCTCACACACGGCTCCTCACAGCAGCACTATAGTGAGGACCCATGAGCTCCTTGGAGCAGCACACTCCCAGCTCAGCACGCAAAGCATCAGAGCGTGCCTCCAGGCTGCAGCAAACCCAGTAACGCAGCAGGACACATCACTTTTCTGCCAGAAGACAGAAACTTATCTGCCTGCCACAAAGCTGAACTCGATCTCAAGCCCTGAGATAAACAATCACAGCAAAGCCCTCTGCAGGCAAGTGTATTGCTCGATGCCAAGAAACACACTTACTATGCAATTTGCAACTAAATGCTCAGCGTGCCTTCACTGCGCCCACCCTGCTGCTAAATCACAGAACGGCAGGGAGAAAGGAACACTCACTCCGACCATGACTTTTTGCTATCCTGTGGTACTAAACCAGTTTGGTAGGACGCTCCTATTCTCCTCCAATATCCTCGCATGTAAGCGGTCTCTTTCCATCACAAAGCACCAACACAAACCTGTTGGTCTGCGCAAGCTTTTGGTCTACAAGTCAACTGTTCCTCCCAAATACATGCAACCCACTCATCTTTTGAGAGCCATTGAGGACTGACACCTGGGGCACAGAAAATCTGCTGATTATGGGAAACCCTCCTATCCACAAAGCTTCTCTCTGAGGAATCCCTCAAGTGTGTAGTCAGCTCCTTCAGGGCCACTCCAGCAGCAGCTCCCTCGCAGGTCACACATCCAAAGATCACTTCAGCACAGCCACGTGCAGGAGCCTCCAGGGCAAGTACTGCTGAGCACTCATCCTCCTGCAGGTCTGGCTGCCCCCATGGCCTCCTGTGGGCCCAACCGCATTCCTGCCCCACATGGCACGTAGGTGTGATGCTGTCCTGCTCCTTGGCAGGCTTCTTTCCATCCAAACATGCACAGGTAACATACTTTGAGGACACAGAGAATGGTCAATGTTGTGAAGAGAAGACCCTCCTGAAGGGAAGAAATTCCTGGACAGCAATGGTGGACCCTCCCAAAGGCACTGCTCCAGCTGGTGCTCAGCAACTGTCCTCCCTGCTCATAGCTGCTGTGCTATGAAACTTAAGGATTAAAAAGAAAGCAGCATTGAAATAAGAGTTTCCAATACCTGTGATGAGTAACGGTTAAATGAAAGAAATTGAAAAGACATAACCCAACAGCAGCAGTATTGACACACAATGCGAAGGCGTGAACCTGCCACCACACACAGCGAGGAGCCATCTCACACCTAGGCACGCATCACGTCCTGTTGCAGCTGTGCTTACCGAAGTAGTCAGCCTTGGGCCGCGCATCCATCTCCTGCTCCAGGCGCTGAGTGAGTGCTTCCAGCTTCAGCTCTGCTGCAGACGGCCCCTGCTCTGGCTGCTGGAGGGTCTGGCAGGGCAACTTCACCTTGGCCACGCCGCAGCCCTCCTGGTGTCCGCCATCAGGATAGAGACTGCTCGTGCCATCCTTGAAAGGCTGCTTTGGCATATCTGAAGTCAGCGGCCCACGTGCTGCTGCCAGGTGTGAGGCACCCAGCTCGGGGCCGCCGTTGGGCCGGTGGTTGTGGCCGTGGGCCACGAAATGACCGGAGGGACTGGGATGGACGCCAGCTTGCTGGCAGTCCACGCTGGGGCCCCCAGGAGCAGAGCTGGGCGGCAAGGGCCGTGAGCCGCCCTGGTACCACAGCTGGCCGCCATCTGTGGTTGGCCCATCCACACCGGCTCGTGGCCCGCAGGGATCGGTGAGGGCCAAAAACCCTGCGCTGGGTTGTGCCGCAGAGGCTGAGAAGGAGGACCTGTGCTGCAGCGTGGCCGCTGGCGCCTCATCCGAGGGACCCGCAGGGCCACGCACCTGCGAGAAGGAGGAGGACCTCTGCCCAGCTGGCTTCAGCTCCTGGCCCTGGCTGCCCCGCCGGTCATCGCCGCCATTCTCCTGAGGGTCTCCGCGGGGCTCCGCTTCCCAGCCCCGCCGCCCAGCCTGGGAGCCGGGGGACTGCGGCTCCGCAGGCACAGGGAAGGCTCTGCATGTGCCCGGCCGCCCGCTGCCAGGGCCCTCAGCTGCCACCTGGGGCAGGGGGCCGGCGAGTGAGCCCAGGGGCGGCTTGGCACCGCGAGAAGCGGGCAGGCCGGGCCGGGGTGCAGCCAAACCGGCCCCACCATTGAGGGAAGCGGTGGCCATCAGCATCTCCTGCTGCTGCTGCTGCTGCTGGAGGTGGATCTTGGCCATCTTGGTGGCAAAGACCCGCCGGGTCTCCTCGAACTCCGGGTTGTTGCCGGCCGCCCTGTCCACTCGAAAGAGCCCGTCCTTGGAGGCCTCGTACATGTTGAGGTCCTCGATGAACTTGCTGGCCTCCAGGCCCAGGTCGTCGTACTTGTCCATCCCGCCCCGCTCTCCGGCTGCCTCCACCACCACACGCTGGGGCCCGCCGGGGCCGCGCTGTGCCGGGCGGGCCGCCGGCCCGGCTCAAGTTTCTTTCTCCCCTCTTTCTCGTCCCTCTTCCCGCAGCGCACGGGGCGCGGAGCCGGAGCTCTCGGCGTGCCGCGCTCGGCGGTGGCGGCAGAGCCACGGCGCGGCCCCGGCTGCCTCCCGCCGCTGCCAGTCCCGCCCGCCTCGCCGGGGGCGGGAGCCGGGGGCCGGGGCGGAGCCGGCGGGGCGGTCCCGCCGCGTTGCACTGCGGCCCGCTGGGGGCCCGCGGGGTGCTGCCGGCGGAGGGCGAAGATGAGCCGGGAGTGTCGGTGGCGCCGGGGTGGGGTGTGGGGGCGGCGCGCGGGGAGCGGGTGTGCCCAGCCCTGGTGTGGCTCCGGTCCCCGTCCTGGCGCTTTTGGAGATCTCCGAGGAGGAGAGCCCGCGGCATCCGGGCAGCCTGCCCTCGGGGGGACAGGTGGGAATTCACACGGCCGAGTTTTGCGAAGGAGCGATTCAGAGAGAGCACTCAGGGACGGTGGCAAAATACACATTGAAGGCAGCGTGGGAAGCTGGCAGCTGCACCTCCGTGACACTGTGAGCTGCACGAGGCAGGCAGCAGGGCCAGCAGTGGGTCTGTGTAGGGACGGCAGGAGACGTGAGGAAGGCACACGCGGGCCCAAGTGCAAATCCAGGCACCTGGAGCCTGCAGACAGCCTGCTCGGCACAGGGTCTGCACAGCCGGAGCAGAACTGCTGCCTTTAAAAGGTCCCCGGTACCGCCGGGACTGCAAGGAGTACTATCTGCTAGGAGGGGATGGACTGCCCCGAGGCTGGCGCTGGGTGGATGGGGTGAGGACAAGCCCTCCCTCAACTCCTCTGCTCAGCGCTGCCCAGCTGCGGGCACCTTGCTGCCCTGCTACCCTCCAGGGCTGCACCAGCAGCGATAAGCAGAGCTGTGAGTGCCAAGGATAAGGCAGAGCTCTGAGCTGCCAGGGAAATAGTTTGCATTCCTGGAGCGGGAGCTGCAGGAATGTGCTCACCGGCTGAGCTGCCCTAATTTACTGAGGCACGGCACCATCCTGACCTGCCGTGGCTGACAGACCAACCAAAGTCTGAGGGAGTCCCTGCTCTGGACCCTGAGGGCTGCAGTGCCCCTCAGTAAATCCACTGAAAGTTGCAGGCCTGGGTGCGTGTGCTCAGACTCGTAACGCTTCCCCAGCACTCGGGAGATAGAGCCCAGATGTTAAGGAATGCACCGTGAATCAGGCTGTGACCAAAGTGTTAGAAACCAAAAAATCCTCTCCTTTTCTAGCAGCTCCCTTGCAAGAAGTCTGCTTAGCAACAGGGACAGCTCGCAGGCCCTAACATGGCACACCCCTTCCAGTGAGCTGCAGCCCCCCAGGGAGGCACGTGTCGCCCGCTGCAGCCACCTCAGCCTCAGCCAAAATCCTGATAAACACTGGACTCACATGAGTGAACCCAGGCGGTTGGTGTTTTTATGATCAGTGTGTCTGTGGTCAGTGATTTCTGTGGAGGCAGGCAGCAGCACAGAGCAGGGCTGGGGGACGAGGAGCAGCAGTAAATCACTCAGGAGGCCTTCAGTGCCTGCTGAGCTTCTAAGTGATGGATAGCACTGAGGCACAAGGGGAAAACAATCCCATCTGTCAAACCAGCCCCTCTATCTGGCCTCTCTGAGCCTTGCTCTGCCGTGGGGAGGCTGAGGGAAGAAAACATCCTCAGACAGGGCTGTTTTGTGCTCCCTTTGCAGAAAAATCAGCAGCTGAAATGTGAACTGTCGGTGGCTACGACCAGAAGCAGGTAAGAGCAGCTCTGAGTGCGGGGATTGCTGGGCTGTGCTGTGTCAGATGGGTCAGGGGATGAGGAGCTGAGGACAGGACAGCCCCAGCAGGTATGCTGTGCTGAGCAGGTTTCAGCTTGAGCCACCAGTGGTTGACAACAAAAGTAACTGACTCCTAAGCGACTCCATCAAAATCAAGGAGCTATGAGATTAAGCCCACAGCTCAACTAAAGCCTGAGCCTCAGTGTGTGATTGCCCCGGGAAGAAAACTGCTCCAGGCAAGGGAGAGACAGTGGCACAGCACTGCTCTGAGACCAATGGAGCCAGCCCAGGACTGGAAACTTCCCTCACTCTTGGCAGTGCAGAAATGAAGAACAAAGAGCAGTGTGAGGTTTTGTTTCCCTTATTTGGCATCAGCTTGTGGAAATCCTCAAGCAAAACCTAGAAGATGTCTGTTGGGGCAGTGCTTGAGCTCAGAGGAAAGGACCTGAAAAGCCACAGATGTGAGGCCAGCTTCCTCCGACCCCAGGACAATTGGGAAAGGAAGCTCACTTAGTGCAGTGACTGTGTGCCACGGAGGGTACCCACATAGATCTAAGCTGCTGCTCCTGAAAGAGCTTCCTGAGTTCTCCCGCTGCTTTGCTCAGAAAGGCCATTTCTTCAGGTTGTGTTTGCAGTCAAGAGGACGAGAGGCAGCAGCACAGCAGCACTCGGATGGGACTCATTGTTCCGTGAAGTCCAGGAATTTCCAGGTGCAAAGCTGCAAACTCCCAACTCCTTGAGCTGATGAGCTGGATCACAGCAGGTATTCAACACCTCTTCCTCCTCCCCACTGGCTTCATTCAGAGCACTGCTGGAAACCAAGCGAGCTGAGATACTCGGGCTTAGCTTCAGTGGTTACCACTTTTGTTTCAAATGTTAAAACAATAAGCAGAGGAGTTGGTACTGAACAGCAGATCTACATTTCCTTGGCTTGAGAGAATAAGAAAACGCAACAGCAAGTAGATGGATGGCAGCATAAACCCCACTGCTTTTCCCTGGGAGGAATCTGTGATGTTCACAGGCAAAGAGCTGTGGAGAAGGGAATCATTCATCGCCTTCGCACCACTTCCCTCCTCCTCACCCAAGGATGCGCAGTGCACCAGGTGAAGGCAGGCTTTTACCCAGCACGGTGCAGACCCAGCTCATGCCTACCATTTTTTCCTGCAGACCAAGCTGAGGCCCCTGAGAACTTTAGGAAACAAACCCTTTGGTGGGACAGAAGTATTTTGGAATGGAAGTATCGACTTTGGAATAGAAGTATCTATTTTCAGCTTTCAAAAACAAAGCAAGGAAGAATCTGTGACTTCACTCAGATCAGGACTTTTTCCGACTTTCTTTTGTAAGGGTTGTGCACACATTTTTTGCCGCTACATTTTATCTGTGAGCTAACATCTGTGGGATGTTTTACTGCTGGGCTCGCAGGAGCCCTCACCTCTGGGGAAGCAGCCTTCTTGCTGAGCTGCCGCACTGACACCGCTGACCTTCACAGCCATGCAAAGTACATTTCCTTCCTATGCCAAAGGATAAAATCAGCTGTGGGAAGAACAATGCATGCACAGACAGTGTGGAAAACCCTGCTGAAGACCTTCAGACACTGAACCATGAAGCTGCACTTGGCCTCGCTCCAGGCTCTGTACGCATGAGCACACGCTGTGATTATGAGCTCCTGTGGATAGGAACCACAGCCAAGCAACTTACAGGCATTTGTTTTGGGGCCTGACATGCCATGGTTTTGGTGAGTGTAAAGCAGCAACCTCTCAGGTACCAAGGTACCTCTGAAGTTCTGTGCTCATGTTTATTTTCAGTGGGGTTTAGGCTAGCGATACTCCCAAATGAACAGATGATTAACTTGAACATTTTATCAGAATGGAGGTGTAATGCTACACTGCCTCACACACCCTGATGCTGCAATTAGATACCAGCTCAATTTGTCATAGTTCCTGTGAGCTTTGCAGCCAGTGCCTATTTAGGAATGAAGGGGCTCACAACTGATGTCATACTACAAGGCCAAAATATATGCATTTACTTGAATTGACTTATTATAAATACAGTCCCTGGAAGAAAAGCCAGTGCTCATCTATTCCATGTTAGTTCCCATGGGCAAGGCTTATGGATTGCAGTGTATTTGCTCGTGCCATACAATGCTGACCAGTGCAGCACAGCCTGAAAGCGCAGCATGAAGGCAGGCAGCTTTGTTGGAAAGATGCCATAGGAGAATGGCTCAGGCTGACACAGCACTGATCCCAGAGGGGTCTTTCTGTGCAGCAGACGAGTTGCTTGCCTCTCGTTGCAATGGTGTAGCCAGCTTTATCCCTCACAAAGGATGAGTTGTTGACTTACAAGCATTGGCTCTGTGGCTCTCTACAGTGGATGACCTTGGGTCAGGTGTGTTGTATTGAAAGGACAACACTGAGGGCTGATGGGCAAGCATGTCTTGAGCCTTGGTAGCAATAGAGGAAGCACTGTGCATTTCAACACAGCAGTGTACCCTTTTCTGGAGAGAAAGAGAAAACAGATATTTTTTTCCCCTCTTTTTTTTTTTTTTTTTTTTTCTGTGGAAAGCTTCAGGCTCCTCCAGGGGTGTGTAGTGGAGGGGGGGATGGAAAGAGCTGGTGGCAGCAGGGGAGGTAAGGCCAGGAGACTGTGGGGCAGGAAGGCCGCTGCCAGGAACTTTGTCAGCATGGAGAGCCCAAACCTCAGCCTCCACCTTCTGAAAACTGCCAGAATGCGTCATTTTGGAGATGTTGTTCCCCCTCACAGCTGCCCCAGGGCCTCTGCATTCCTCTGGGAGGCCTGCCCTGCCTGCCTCCTCTTGCTTCCCTCCAAATTTAACCCCCAAGGAGCTCAGAGCAGGAAGGGCCATGCCAACCCCAGAACCCCATGGCCTGGTGTGGGCCGAGCTGCTGCTGCGGGGTGAGCAGTGCTTCTCCACAGACACAGGGTTAAACTCCAGGGCAGTTGAAATTTAGGGTTGTTGAGGTGCCCTGCCTGAGCAGCCACCCTTTAGAGCTGCGTCCTGCTGTGCCACATGTAGCCCAGCTGGACAAGGAAAAAATGCCTGTGCGCCTGTTCTCACGTGGCAGAAAAGGGAGAAATCACATCACAGGGACAAAGCTGTCCTCTGCCAGGCTCCTTGCTCCTGCCCCAGCAAAACCCAAGGGGAGGATGAGGAGGCTGCAGCCCATCTAAGTGTGTGCATCCTGTCCTCAGAACAAGGGCAAGAACAGGGCCCAACTAATTTTTTGCTTCCTTAAACTACAACTGCCTGTTACAGGGTGTGCTCTCTGCAGTAAATTACACTAAGAGCCACTTAATTAGCACTAATGGCACAGAAGGGCCAGGGGCAGCCTAGGGACAGTTTCTGGGGCTGTAAAAATGCTTTAAGCAGTAGAGTAGTGCTGGGAAATCACTGAGAACCCATCAGGAGCCCAGGCAGAAGCAGATAAAGCAAATGCCATGAGCAGAGGGTGTGCATGCGGTCTCCCTTTTCCCTCAGCCCACCAGGCCAAAAGCTTGCTTTTGGTGGCTTCAGAGTTACACCTACATACCATAGGTGGCTTTGCTGGTTTTCTTCTTCCCTAATGAACATGAGACAATTTGTTTTTCTTTCTGTTTTCTACTAAAAGTAGCCTTCCATCGGAACAAAAACTCGTCTGGAGATGTTTCTAGCTCCATTTCCCTGCTCTTTATCAGCACACTAACACGAACAGCATGGTGACCTGCTCAACTAGCATGCATGGCCTTTAGTAATCCCAGGCTGGAGGAGCACCACACGCCGACGACATCCTGCTATTAGTCATCAGCTGAGTGTGGCTTTGCAGGGCTGAGTGGATACAGCCAGTGCATCCACCCGCTCTTCCGTGCGTGTCCTAGAAGGATCTCTCTGACTAACAGATGTTTTTGAATGCTCTTTCACATGGGAAAATTGGGAAGAACATATTTTTATTGCACCCTTGCTATTTCATCCAGCCACGTGGATCTCCAGGGATGGAGACGTACTTAAGAAAAATATTCACTTCTGAAAGCTTCTACAATTTTTTCACAGTACTTTCTTGGCTTAGCCAGCCTAGCAATGCATGCTTGTATTCTTATTTTGCAGCAATTAGTAAGATTTGCTAATTATACTGCTGAGTATTTAAAAACAATTGATTTCCCTTTGTAGCAGAAAATAATTTCCTGTTACACCAGTTCTCTTAATTTTCTTCCGAAACAAAACCAGGCCAGCAGTGCCAGCGGTGTCATGCTGCTGTTATTAAATCGCTCTATTTTCTGCCTTGGTTATTTGTCCTGTGTTTATTATTCCAAAGCAGTGTGCCTTGGATCCCCTACAGCTGCTCCAACTGTATGTATTCAGCACCCTGCTGGCACCATGCTGAGTGGCTGGAGAGCAGCTCCCATTGCTCAGCAGCCTGTGTTTCTTCTGGCAGCGGAAGGTGGGTGTATTGGGAGAACCTTGGACCTTTCACGCTCACTTCTGGCAGATGCAAGCAGCTGCTCACAGATAAGGAAGTTCAGAGCCCTAGGTGTGACTGTAGGCTCTTCTCTTGTGCCCAGCCCAGAGGGTGTAGCTAAAGAGCCTCTGGTAAGTTCCAGCAGGGCACAAGGTGTGAAGGTCCAAGTTTGCATCTGATTAGCACCACATGCATGCAAAATTAAGACTTGCACAATTCAAGGGAGCAAGCACAAAGGCACACATTTCTGTACATGATTCTGTTGAGAATTCCATTGAAGATGAGGCTCTTAAAAGCACTGTTACACCCCAAATGCCCCAGGCTGCATCACAAGCATAAAGAATGTGGGTATTCAATAGATTCTACTCCAGCTTTTTCTGTTTACATGTTCCTTTGCTAAGCGAGCAATTAGATGGCCTAAAATGGACTGCAAATTGGCATGGTGCAGGCAGATGAGTGCCAAAGGAAAAGTCCTCCATGTTCAATATCACAAGGTGTTTTGATGAGATTCCTGTGATCAGAATCTCTCACAGGTGTGAGCAACACTCGGCTGACAACATCCACAAGAGCTCACTTGTCTCTGAGTCTGCAAGACAACGCAGAAGGAAAGCCAGCAGGACTTCTCTCAGTAACCTTGCAACACACAGGCAAAAATACTCAGAATCGGACACCAACACTTCATAATCCCAGGAAAATGTTTGCTTTCAGCTGTTGAAACACTCTGACTACACAGAGAACTGGAGCTAATTTTATAAGGAAGATGGTGCTGGTGTGCAGCTCCCCAGGGCCAAAACCAGACCTGCAGTTGCCCGGAACAAATTTGCCCTGCCTAGTGCTTACTCGAGTGAGGAAAGAGCTGCAAGAAAATGCTCTGTGTGACTTTGGGCCTCCGGGGACAGGTGGGCTCGGTGAACTGTGAAATGCTTTGTAGTACCAGTAAGTTGGTTTATTCAGGAAAAGGGAAAAAAATCCCACCTTTCTTCCTCATGTCATGGATGCAGTCACCATTTGGATTCTGCTGGCGTATCTGCCTTCACATCCAGCATTGCTCTTACAGTGCTCTGATACAAAATTAGTTCAGATCATAACAGGGAGGGGGACACTAAAAAAAAAAGTGGAGCAGAAAAAGCATCCAGCAAAACAGTACGTGTGCTGTTAAAATGCAGTAAGTATATATAAATTAAGCCAACACCCCTTCTATAATACTTTCTGTAAGAAGTATTGAAAACAGAAAAAAACACCTGTAGTTTCTCTCCCCTTCCTTCCTTAGAGCAAGGCTTTTAGAAGAGCCCTATCAACTGCAAATTTCTCAAGGAAAGAACAACCAGCAAAGTGCTAACTAACATTCTTTCTAGTTCACGTCAATTGCAAAAATTTAGAGCAGAGGAATAGTATGTGAGGCTTCACACTAACCAAACACAGACAAAGAAGAGAGACTGCATGACCTGCATTATCTGTAGAATTTCTGCCCCCAGAAGAAACAAACAGGCTTTTTCAAAGTCAGATTAGTAAAAGCTGTCTCTGACCAGATGCTAGTTCTGAGGCATTACTTTAATCTGGTAAATCAGAGACAGATAATGGATTTCATTCTTTCCATCAAACCTGTTTTTGGACTCTGTTGGCGGGCATGGAAAAAAGAAATGCTTGTTCAACAATGCCCCTGCAGAGCCTTTTGTGTGGAGCACAGGTAGGGCACCCTGGCTAGAGTGTCTTCAGCTGCAGCACTGATCCTTAATGTGACAGAAAAAGCCCTACTGCCTCATTGCAAAGCAGCACTGGCACACAAATATCATCTCAGTCACCACAGATAGCTATGAACACTTATGCTTAAGAGAACATTTTTCTGGGCTGTGATGTCATCCAATACATTGCACTGTCCTATCATGGTTCTGGGGTAAGAAGTGAGTGACATGATGCAGAAAATATATCTTCCATCTCACAGACCTGTTTCTTGGCCTTCCAGGAGCACTTAGTGTTGGACCCATCCCACTGAGTTTAGCAAATCTCTCACATCTCCTTTGGCTCATCATCTCTTCATGGAATGACAGCAGCACCCTATCCATTTTAATGTGTGGGACAGCACTGTGCAGTTTGACTGACTGACATCAGCACCTTTTCTTTTCGCTTCTCAAACATCCCCTTCCAGATTTAAAACTCCCATCTTGTTTGCCATGGAACTCTTCAGGTATGCACAATGTTTTATGCTGCCTTCAGCGTGCAGATACATCTGTACTGTAACACAAGTAACAACCGTTAAATAAATGGCAGACATCTGTGTAAATTATTTTGAAGAGGGTTAGTAACAGCTCACAGCCTGTGTCAGTCCAGTCTAGGCACAGAACAAACTTGTAAGTCTCAATTATCGTAAGACAAATGGCAGTCGTGCTTCAGATCGGGTCAGCATCATGAAAAATTTCAGCAGGTGTCAGGCCAACCACAAAGCTCTGCAGCTGGCACCTCTGCCATCCTTCAAACACACACTTAATGGGGGATTAGGCTCTGTCAGACTTTCCACATCATCTCTCACATTCCCTTTTTCAAAACCTTTTTGTATCCTCTAGACCTCACTGAATTTCACCTTACTGTAAACACGCTGGTGTGACTTGTGACCATACACTTCTAGTGCACACACTATTTGCTACTTTTCCTTTCTCAGTGTCGAGAGTCCATTCCACATTTTTCTTTCTGCCTGGATCAAAGTGACATCTACGATTCACTTCTTCCTCCTGCAAGAGCAAATATAACCAGTACTAACAGCAGTAAACATTGTGGTCTGCTGCTCAGCCCTGTAGTGACTGCAGCTTTTGTTTAAAGGCATCATAGAGCTGCTGGGTTTACAACATCTTTCTTCATCCTTGAAAATATTACAAGGTGGTTGGTTTTTTTTTTTACACCAAACATGTCACCTTTCCCCAAAGAAAATCTGTTTGAATGGTTCCATAGGGAACGTTAAACTTTTATACGGAAAAGGCAGGAATGTGCTTGGGCTACAAATTTTACTTTAAAAGACCCCTTTCACAGTCTTTCAGGGACTTCTGAACAGGAGTTTTATCAATTTATAACAACATATATGTCAGGCAGACATTGGAATTCAAATTATTTTAACTCCAACTAAAGGCCTGTGTTTAAATGTCTGAATGCATTCCTTTGTGGCTAAGATTTAGGAAGTCTTAAGACTGCAAAGACCGTATCTTCATTATAAATATTCTATTTCTTAGTCATTCTTGCGTCAAAGGACTGCTGAAGAGAAAATGTGCACCAGTGTGGTCCAGAAGGAAGCAGAAGTCAGACAAGTTTTGTCACACTTAGGAAAGTTTAGTGTCTACTCTGCTCACTGAGCCTGAAATCTCCATTACGTAGCTAGATCTTTGCTACCAAAATGCATAAAACCAAATTGATTTCTGGTATTCCTTAGCGCTGACACTTCAAAGAATCTATCATGATCTTACTTGCTCAGGATCCATTGGACTTAAATATTGTTCAGTGGGAGATTTTTGCTGCTTTTCTTTTAGTCTGATACACTGGATGGCTGTTGGACTGGAGGGTTAGCAGACCTCTCCATTTGACTAGCTCCTTGTCTTAACTGTCAGAAGGGCTCATAAATGGCAGATTTTAATAGTTGTTAAAGAAGAGGCGTGCTCGCACAATGAACCCTGTAACTGTCTCTTTTGAAAACCTTTTTCAAGCACTTGCTAAATACAGTAAGCATTTCCATGTGGATGTAACAGTAATGCAGTGTGCAAATAATATGGCTGGAATGAGGCATGAAAAAAGCTTTGTGCTTTGCAGACATCTGATTTTTAGAAATGTGACTGCCAATTCTACTTAAAGAACCCCTCAGAAACAAACAAATGAACAAAAAACCAAACCCAACAAATGTTAATTGAAGTTTTACAATCTAGGCACTAGAAGAACTAAGGGTGAAATCAAAAAGCACAGCGGCTGCCTGTACTGCTGTACTACTGGTAGTTGCCTTGTCCCTTTCTCAACTCCCCCCACAGTCTCTGGGATGGCTCACGAATGGGAAGTCACTTCCATTTGGTCTGTGCAGAAACAATTGTCGGCACTTTGCGAAATTTGACTCTCTCATGTATGAACCAACAAAAATATGCCAGCAAGTAAGGAGGATCCTGGCTAAGGCAGGGCTCAGCTAAATCATCTGACTGTGTTCTTGGCTTGCCTCTGAAAGGCATGTGAAATAGATCAAATCACCCCATTCTGGCTATTTATGATGAATAAAACCATTAGCCAGTGCTAGTTAACACTAAGTTATAAGAAAATGTTGTTACGGAAAGTGCTGATTAATGGTAGGTCATCTAAATGTGAGATAGGTGGAGCAAAGATGGACTGACACCTAACATTTGGTGCAGCACACACTCATGGCAGCTGTTTAGTTCTGGAATCATACTTATGCCTCTATATTTGACCAAGCCAAATTTCAAATAGGGTAGATTCCTGAGGCTGACCTAAAACCCATGTGCTTTACAGCACTTACATTCTATTACAATTACTTACTTCTTCTGTATTTCCTTCTCATTCACCCAGAGAATATGGACAAACAGCATCTTACCATGACTTGATACAAAACTTTAATTCTGTGCATTCCTTCTCGTTGAAATGGATATTCAGCAGCAACCTAATTTTGTTAGCATTTCTCCCCCACCGTTATATGAGATTTAAATAGCCATCATTGGTATTTTGAAGTGCTTTCATCCTGAAAGATTCCAGTTCTCTTTCACAGCCCCGCAAAGTCTTACTCTTGCACTAAGAAGTTGATAAGGGCAGTTCTAGGAGACAGAAAGGCCTTTTTAATGGTTCGTCCCTGGAGATGCTTGGCTCCAAGTTCACTGTGAAGAACTATCTCGTGGACTTCTTCAACGTTGCGGGCTGCTTGCTGAGGCACAAAAACTTTGCCGCAGGCTTTGTTATTGATCTGGAAAACACAAACATGAGAACAAGAAAAGACAGAAGTTACCAGACTGATTTATACACTTTCATCTCCTGAATGCAATTCCTCTCATTATGCGTGGTGAAAAAAGTGGATCAAACTGTCTTTTGCCTCAATATGAAACTTTCTAAGCAGAGGATAATTTTTTCCATACTTCCTGGCCCTCTAGAATAGCATAAGAGAATAAAAATTTGACTCAGGATACTCAAGCAAAATTTAAGAAGTAGATACAGGAAGTGTAATTTTTTGAAGATAGCAAGCATTGAGTGACTATGTAATGTGGTGATCTTTTAAGCTTGAAAACAAGATAGTCACACAGGCTGAACAGACAGCAAACAGAACGGCTGGGATTCTCTACAGCTAAGTAATTCCTTCCATTCAAGTGCAAGATACATTAAAAATATTTGTGGCTGAAAAGATATATCCAAAGGATTCTTCATAACTCATAAAAAAAAAAAAAGAAAAGAAAAAGAAAAAAAGGCTTTAGCTTATTGTAATGCTGTATTCTTACTAAAAGCATGACTCATGAAGCCAACCCACCACAAAGATGACAACCCCTCTTAAGGTAATGCTTTCCTGCGTCTGGCTGTTTTCAGAGCAATTTCCAGACTAGCTTTGCACAGCGAGGCAGAACCATTTAAGTACAACCGAGTAAGGCCTTCAGGAGGAATCATCTCAGTGCATAATGTGATCTCATCATTACTTTCTGTCATCCATTCAGACTACATAACGTATGTAGTCTACTGAGTCCTACTGAGTACCTTTTCTGGAAATAACATAAAATTCACAATTAAAAAAGCTTTCAGATTTATATGAGGTACCTTCTATGGATCAGCGTAAATAACAGTAATCTTCCATTTTAGCATATTAAATATGAAATTTTTAATCCAGTTCAATCGAATTACTCGCTTGCTTGAGAATCTCCTGCAGATACTGCAGATCTTTGCCAGCTGGACACCACTGTAACTATTTTTCAATCACCTGAAAGTAGCATGTTTTGCTTCATACAGCTTGGACATAAAAATGCACACAACTTGCTGTTTGTTTTTTTTTTAATCCAAGATTAGTGGATGCAACATACCGCAAATGGGAGAGACCCACTTCAGTTACCTGATTTGTATTTTATTTAACACTAAACAATCTGTGCAGTTCTCTGAGAGAGGAAGATGAGAAAGCCTTTTAAGGAACAAGATGAAGCCTCAAATGCAGCTGGGATGAGTCATTTCTGGTTTTTGACTAGCCTTGACATTAATTTGCAGTGATAACGTAAGTAGACCTTAACTATTCTTTCCTGCATCCATAAGTTGGTATCATAAAAGTGTGTCTGTCTGTTAAGCTTTGCCTTTTGTACCTTCTGAGAAATAAATCCTTTGAAAAACAAGAGCATTTCATTTTTAGAGCTACCGTGACAAAAACACACAAGTAGTTCCTTTTGACTTGACACTTCAGAGAAGAGAAATATTGCATGGGAAAAAAGAAAATGGTAAAAATCAAACGTGCTACAGCTTCAGTGAGAAGATAAAGCAAGCTTGTGGGCTTGCTGCTAGGTCACACAGCCTGTTGTTAAAAACTAAGCCCGGTCAGTTAAATGTCATTCATTTTGTCCATGATGCAAACTATTATGTTCCAGTGGACAGATGCTAGCGGGGGGAAAATTGGCACAACTAGCCTAGCTGGTGCTGTTCTCTACAGACAAGACAACTGGGCTAGGTGAACATAGCAAATAAATGACTCCTAGCAGTTGTGTTTCCCCAGAAAGGTTGAGGAGCCTGAGCAGCCTGTGTGTCTTCCCACAGTATCTGCCCATACCTTCCCACACATGGCACTGTGAATTGCATCAAACAGCAGACCGGTTATCATTTCAGCACATATTTGCAGAATGGTTTTCATTATAATATAGCTATCGTGGTGCAGAGTCAAGTATACCAACGCTGTTCCTAAAAACTAAAAAGTTGTCTGCAGGTTTGATCACACGCTGTATGTAACAGGCGCCCTATTCATATACTCTTTCAGTTGAGGCGTTAGATTCTTCTCAAAACAAACATCTCTGGCTCTCTGCATCTCACTAGACCAGCAGCGTATCCCTTGGTAACTTTGGGTAAAAGTGCCCGCTCAAAAAACGAGGGTGCTAGCAGTCTTATTTCTCTGAAAAACCTTCACAGAAAATTGCAACCTCAAATGAGGTTGAGTCCTTTCTTCTGCTGAGAAAGGAAGCTGCTGATTTCCCTTCTGCTTTTTTGAGTTTTTTTAGAGCAGCCCCATTTATTCACAATCCTTTGGAGAAGTAAAAAGGAAAGCATCTATACAGCTGTAGGCCTTCCTCACACTCAGAAGCAGTAAAACGATGAAAACTTAGCTTATGTTTTCAAAAAAGCAGTTGTAAGACTGCAGCTGTTAACAGTTCTGCACCACCTACACAATGTGAGGAACGTTACAAGTGCGTTGACAAGATGAAATGCTGTGACTCTACATTCGGGTCAGATTTTTCACAGCGTTAACAATATGTTAGGATGTAATGTAAGTGCAGGCAAATGAAAATTATTCAACTTCAAGATAGCATTTAGATCAACAAGTACACGTGCATCTCCGTTAAGATAAGTTTAAATGTCATTCTTATATGCAGTCTATATTGTATCAGTCAAGGGTGCAGAGAGTTGGTTCATTTTGCTGCCTTGGGTTAAATATGGAAAGACATAACTCCGGCACAGACAGGAAATAATGAACTATCTTGTGTCAAGAGAAATAAAACCATGTCTCAGCAGGCAAATTGCTGGCAGCCTGAGGCAGTTTGAGGTCTCGAGAAGAATAGGGTTGTGGCCCAAAGACTCAGCTTGACTGTGCAGCCTTGTGAAGAGACATTGTCTCTTTGCAACTAACCAGTTCCTCCTTACTTTGACTTGTTTTAATGAAGGCAATTTATTTTTACAGCTATACAAAAGCCTGCAGTGGTCACATGACTGTAAAATATTCACGTTTATAATGGTTTGTCACTGTTTTTCTGTATGTCCCTTTACCTTACTCTTAATGTAGTAAGCCAGGCATTCCCAGAGTCATTATTTTTAAGAAACAGTCTTCAAGAGAAACTTGTCTCCCTCTTCTCCCATTCACTTATTTCCTCAGGTCTAAGAAAGGTGTTTACACACATCAGAATCTTCCATGAATTGAGCATACAGAGGTTGATCATTCCCTTCTTAGAGGACTTCTACATGAGGCTATAGCTTTGACAAAGTCAGTGAGGACAAGAAATGAAAGTAATTTTCACAATGATTGCTGAAAGCAAAATTTGTTTTTATGTTTCCATTTTCTGTTTTTGAGAAGAAAGTTTCAATGTAAGCAGAAAAATATTAGTAATGTTTAGGCTTTCTTATGCTCAGTTGCAGAGTCCTGAAAGCATCCAGGTCAGAATTTTCTTTGTGCTGTTGCAGTTTTTACTTTAAAAATCTATTTTGAAACATTCGCCTTAAACACAACTGCAAAGAAGTTCCTATAATTACACAATTTCTTATGCATAGCTTCATCCTAAATTGAAACTGAAATTTAAGGTGTTTCCTAGCTGTATTGGAAGGCGAAGGTTTATTTTAATCTTGACCAATGTAATTATATCTAAGTAAAGATTTTGTGGACATATGACTCTTTTACTGGTATTTAAAAACAACATACCACTTACAAAAAAAAAAAAAAAAAAGCAGAAAAATGATAATGAACATTAGCCTGAAATCTGTTGTTAACCCAGACAGCACAAGAGTCTTTGTCTTTGGTTTGGGAAGAGATGCCAACAACTGAAAATTTCCTCCAAAAGACATACTCTGGCCACTACTAAGGACGTACATTGAACGTTAGAGAAATTAGTGCTCTTAGCAGCATTTTCCATTCTGTTCAAGTGGACTGGCAAGACATGAAACTGCAAAGATACTTGTAAGGAAATCTACAGCAACACAGCTTCCCCTAAATCTAACCAACTTCTTTCCTTCTACAAAAAGCCAAAAGAGCTAAACACAAATAACTGCACAGCCTACTTCTTTTACCCAAATGAGCTAATAGAATACAACAATTAAAAAAACAAATAAAATGCATCGTTTCTGTTTCTCATACACACACACATTCAGAGCATGCAGTTTTAAATGACTGAATGCCACTTCCTCTGGAGACATCTCATTCAAAGTACAGAATATCCAGAGACGCACAAAAAAAAATGTTTAAGTTAAAGCACTGATGCTGAGAACGTCTGCATGATATATGAAAGATTTCCCTGGCGAGCAATGAAAAAGGCAGGAGCACTGCTGGTTTCTAAGATGCAGATATGTATCTGCAGACTATCACAATGCCTGAGCATAGAGGACCTGTATTCAAGCTGACTGAGAATCAGCTAACAGGAGAGCTGAGACACTACCCGTGAATCCCACCCACCTGACTCCAAGTCCCACAGCTGCTCTGTGGCCTACAGTGGCACTCGCTGCTAATGTACTCCGTGTAAAAATAGAGCTTTATGATGCTTGCAGGCATGCTGAGTACTGACTAGATAGAGATGCAGGAAAAAAAGATGGTAAATCACACTGTGCATGTGCATATACACATTTTGGGAAATTACAGGTTAGCTAAATGTAGTTACAGGTCATCTCTTCTACTGAACTGCCAGCTCCTTCCATAAACCTCTGAGGTTTTAGAGCTCAAGTAGGATCTGGGATGTAATTCTAATGTTAGCAAAACTACCTGCTTTTCCTAAACTTAATTCTTGGAAATATGCTTTGTTGGTATTTGCCAGAAGTTCTGCCTGAGGCAGACAGGAAACATAGTTTGGCAAAAATTGAAGCAACTAAAACCAGCTTGTAATTGGTTGCATTAGGCAACCACAGCACTACAGGTAGCACAAGAAATATCACTTCATTTTACATTTTTGCACAGTTAAGATCCTACATGGTCTGACAGGGAAAAAAAATTTGGAGAGACCTGTATGTATTTTGGTTTTTGCTGTACTGGCCGCTGTACCGCAGTTGTTTGTCTGTCCAATCTCCACATATACTAATATACAGTCACTGAAAAAGATGTATATTTAGACTGCCTTCCTTCCAGACATACTATGTGTCTTTCACTTAGGAAACCATTTTAATTACTCAGCACAACTTAATTGCAACTTCCACCCTATTTCACCTTTCACTGAGCCATATAAATAGGGAACTGACTTCCACAAGAGCAGGGATTTTGTCACCTTCTCTGAGCTTACAATGCATTAATTGACCCAACTGAAAATAAATGAAAAACTCTTACCAGAACAGACATCTCCACTACATCTGGTGGTTGAAGGTATTCTGGGTCTACTTTGGGCCAGGACTGATGCAGCACATCAGCACCCCAGTTATGATGAGTACAAAGTTTATTCTCCATATGTGCCAAACCTGGAAAATGAAAACCATTCAACCGTTTTATCATCAGATCATTCGATTTTTAGGATTTGTTTGATAAATAGGATGAGAACAAAGTTTACTTTGAAAGCAAGTTCCTTCAGGAGGAAATAACACTGTTTAGATGAGCATACAGCACATTTTAAACAGAAAGATACACAGCTGTGAAAACATTTGCTTTACACTATGTCTAGCGACTCTAACACGAGCACTGGGGGGACGTTTTAGATTAGGATTAGTATTTTTAAAAAATCTACTTGAAGAATTCAACTGAAATATCAACCTAATTTAAGAAAACGAGCAGGGAAACGTATAAAACGTTCCTATTGAGGAACTCAGTCAAAATAAGGCACAATTATGGCTTAATATTTTATCATCTGTCATATCCTGGGTGGTTTCCTGCAACGTGCTGGGTAGTTTCAGCTGCAAGTCAAGCTACTCACAAGATGTAAATAATCTGTTGACTCACAAATTAAAAGTTCTGGGTAAGTACACCTTGCACAGCTTGCTTGCTTTCTTATTTCATGTACATGCTGAAATAGTTTATCCTTTGATTTTATTTAAAAATACTCTTAAAATGGCTATAAACGATCTCTTTCTATTAAACAGACTTTGCACTCCAAGACGATTCATTCCTGATTTACTGAAGTACCAGCAGAATTAGTTGTAATTCATTCTAAAGCCACATTCTTTAACTGAATTAAAGCTTCTGAGTGGAATTTATCTTTCTGTCTACTCCAGATGTAGGGCAAAATAAAAAGATTTCACTGAAAATGCTGTCAAATATGCAGAACTGACAAGGATAGCTGTCGTGATTCTTTCCTACAAAGCCAGTAGGTTTTTAAATTATAAACATGAATAAGAATATGGATTAAAGCTTTTTTTTTTTTTTAAAGCATATGCTTCCTTCAGAATTGCAGAACACAACAACTAAAGAGTATCTGAAAACTCATCTGGTTTAAGGAAACTCAAGAAGATAAAGAAAACACAGCACAATAGCAGACATTACCAGCAGAAACATACACCATGCATAATACAGTGATTTATTTAGCTGGATTGTTTAGACTCATAGGGCGAATAACAGCAAACACAAACATAAAAAGAAGGCAACTTCCTCCAGGATGAAATCCACCAGATACTTGTCAGTGCTTTTCCAGACAAAGCGCTTCTGTGAAGCGACACACAATCTTGCTGTTTTCTGAATCACTCAGAAGAGAGTGTGGTGGACTGCTGGGAGCTGTTTCTAATGGCAAGCAAGAATCACACAGAATCTGAACATTTCCTAAGAATAACAATGAAGCCACAATCTTTTTAGGTAAATAATTGATTAAATTCTTCAGTGCATCTGGGTTTGCGTGTTTCTTCCCTCTTGTAACAGTTGCTCAGAAACTGAAAGAGCAAAAGATAAGAAATCAAACAGAAAAAAAATAACAACCACCCTTCACACTGGTGATTCATTATCACGTTGACTTGAAAGATGACAGCTGCTAAATTCTTCCCCTTTTGGCTTTTGAACATACAGATGAGCTCATTTCTTTCCAACTGATCACATGCCTCGTGGCAGAAGCATGCATACTGACCACTCCTTATTTTCCTGCTGAAGTGCATTCTTCTAGCTTTTTAAAAACCACTTTCTGATATAAGTTGAGAATCTCCCTCTACACGGGCAGAAACAGGGTCACTTTTAATCTCTGTGGAGGCTATCAGTTTTAGTAAGCTTACTAATAAAAAATAATTAACATGTATTCTGAAGCAGATAAAGCATGATTAAGCACTGTGTCAATCTTTAGGTTAGTTTTCTTGCTACAAAATGGGCTATGAGTTCACCCGTATTAAAAAAAAAAAAAGTGCAAAAGTCAACAGAACTAGTTTCAGAAAACAGCTTGACAGGAAACCAAAATGAAGGTTTTACTTAGGTTGCCTGTTTGGCTTCCTGCCTTAAATTCACATTTTGCAAGCTGTACAACACAGAAAATACAGTCATGATTTGTTTGGCGTTTTCAAAGTGCAACACACAGGACCAGAAAGTTCCATCGTCATAATGTAGATCTGCTGGCACACTGAGCAGGCCCTGGACAGAATTTCCTCCTGCCCTTCCACTTGATTCTGATACATCAAACAAAAGCACCATTTGAGATCTTAAGAACTAACAATTTCACAGACCCTTGCTGCAAAAACATTAAAAACTTGGGATACTATCTTGCTGTACTGGAAAGCACCTACTGAAACATACATTATGAAGCAGTGTGCATTTATTTTCTACTTATTGTCTTGTTTTGATTTTTCAGCTCTATCTTCTCTTTCAAACACAGGCCAAAAAGCCAGCTGAGTGCACTTTCCACAGAGCTTACATGTACACCATTTCTGGGGACAGATCTTGTGCTCAATCCAAAGCCCTGATCCTGCAATTGGATCTGTGTCAATGGACTTTCATTAACTGGCAAGCTAACACTGAACTAAGCTTTCCCCAGCCAGTAACTCACTGGACTGAAGCCTTCATTAACACTGCAGCATATTATAAATGTTACTATAAATGAGTGAGTTGACAGAAGGAGGAGAGAGGACAAATCTAACAACATTTAAGCTCATGGCAATGTTTTATTAGCATTACCTGAGTCATTAGTATTTCATTAAAGTAATTCTTCCCCTGAGGTGCTGTTGGGGTGGAAGAGCCGATTGGCAAAATAAGGAGAGATTGAAGAATAGTGATGTGGAAGCAGTTGTCTGTCATAAAGGCAAGGTAGGACAGTAAAGTACTTCTAGTCTTACAGGAAGAAAGCATTAGTATAATGAATCTGTTAAATTCCAGAAATGGTGCAGATAGTTTGACATGAAATGATGTAGGCAAGAGAAAAAGACGCGATTATGAAATAGAGTGAGGAATGGCTGGTGTGGTGAGGGACAACGGCCAGCACTGAGAGCTTAACAAAGGAAAGAGGCAAGGAGGACGGAAGTCATTACGGGAGATAAAAGGAAATTAATTAAGGCTTCTGAAACTAGGCCACTATTGGAGTTTATTTTCTAACAGGGGATAGAAGAAGACCAGAGGAACAGCAGACAGTGACTATGAGGACACATTATCCAAATGCTGATAACCTTTGGATTTAGCAAAATCGAAACAGTAAGGATCTATGTTAAGTAAAAATGCACCGCGCTAGCAGGCAAGCAGATTCAGCTTAGAAGTAGCTCACAGCAGGAATTTCTAGCAGTCGGTAGAGATACCATCTGGATTATTGTCTTCCTGGCCTCTGCAGTCCCTTCCAAGGATTGTTAGCTTTTACTTCATTCTTCACATGCTCTTTTCCTTTTTAATGAATCTTCCTATTTGACAGATTCTGGCAAGCTGAATATCAGAAATACCTTTCTGGAGTCCAGGAGGACTATGCCTGCCAGTCATTCATTAAAGGGCATGCAATCTCAAAGAAATTACAGCAGTACAATAATAGCTATTTGTGGACAGCTCTGAGAAAAGCTTTATTATACTACTGGTAGCACAAGTCAGAAATACATAGATTAATTCAATACATTGTTTGGGGATTCATTTTGTATATTCCTTAGTGACAGAGCACCAAAGAGGGCTGTGAAAAACTCATGTTACTGACAGCTAATTCTAGAATGCATTTCCAGTTCTGCAAACTCCCTGTGAATCCCTTTATTCTCCTGAAATTGATCTGCCTTCCTCCACTGGTACAGACTTGCCCTTCATTTTGGATTACTCTTAGAGGGAAAAATCATTCTTTATTCCAAACTGGACTTATTCTTGGATTTGTGCAGGTTCCTCTGGGGGACTTCTGCATTCAATTTTTCTATGAAAATCTGAAACATCACTTAGCTTCCAGTCCATTCTTCAGGAAAGCCTTGTTGGGCAAGGACTGAATCCAAAACCAGAAATACTTACAGTAGAACAACTGCAATGGTAGTTTTAATGTCGCTGAGACAATTATACCATTACAGTTTCCAATAATGATGTTTCATCTCGATATATCTTAAGACGGGTTTATCGTGAGTGTATGTCTTTCATGCACCGTCACTAATAAAAATGTAATAGCTCACAATAAGCAGTTTCATATCCTCGTGTGGACAGCAAAACACTGTACTACTACAAACAAACAAAAAAAACCGTGTCTCAAATGGTGTCTGTATATTCCTCAGATACAAGGCTTCAGGAAGGAAACAGATTTCCTCTTCCTGTTAGTGTTCATAAACTGCCAAGATATCAGGCGGATGAACTCTTCCCGCACTGAGGGGCTACAGCAGCTTTTACATGAATAAGCTGTAACACAGCATACACACTGCACAGTTAAGACCATCAGGGTGACACACCAAATTACTGACCATGTCCTCCTCTAAGCAGCAGAAAGAACTACTTCACACAGAATATCAAAACATTCCATTACAGCTTTTTGGCTGCTAGAAGGTGAGGTACTTATGAAACCGTATTCACGCAGCTCTTCCCTTCCCTTCAAACTTGAAATATTTGCTGCCACTACTGAAGTACTCTCTTCAAACAGCTCACAGAAAAGATCAAACTCATTCTGCAACCTGATGCATGAAAACAAGGTGGTCACGTTTAAACTGAATCCCATGGGAGAATAACTCTTGAGATACAGCAACTCTTCTTCTGCATCTCGAATCTACCTAATTCTACCTTAATTATATTTAAAACCTGAGTGCTACATGATGTCCTTGGGATATCAAACTGAAGTTCTGAGTTTGTAAGGCTCATCAACCAGCCAATAAAGAAAACAAAGTGGATCAAAATGCTAAAATTTCAAATGAACTCTGATGTAATTCTTACAAATAAGGATAATGTTATTATAATCAAAACAATGTACGTCACTGATGCCGATTAGTCATTATTTAAAATGTCAAGCAAAGCATCTTTAATTACCACTTTAAAATTACTCTTTACATTTTCCTAATATTGTCATTGGTTGGTAATCCTTTAGATTGACTGATCTGCAGTTACATCCAACTGTATTTAGAGAAATTTTGTGTTAACCAAGAGGGTAAACTATATGTAGGTTACTCCAAAAGGAATACCTGCCATTTATTTCCAGGGAAACTACAGCAGGTACAAAGAGCACAACCACATTATTTGATTGAGCAAACTAAACAGCTACAAAACAGTATTTTTCAGCAGAGTCATCACCATTAGCTATGCATCTGCATCAGCAATGAACAAGAGCCTGCATACTGCGCTCATAAAAATCTGTACCATGAAGGTGACCCACTGTTTCACAGCTGCTACGACTGCGTCAACTGCATGCTGCCCATGCAGCCCATCTTTCATTGGCCTGAACAGACGGAATTCAGAAAGTGCCAAACTCAGGCTGTACGGGGCGTGATAGGACAGAGCAACCAAATTTGGCAATGTGCTCCACAGTCTTCAAACTGGTACGAGGCCTGGTGTCATCGTGTTGCAAGAGAAAGGTTGAAAGAGAAAGTTTGAGATAAGTCAGTGTTGTGATGCAGTGGTCAGAGCTGATGGTTTGTCCTGCTTGAAGGAAATCCAGGAGAATTTCCTATCCCAAAAAACAGTGCACTACCCACTAAGGGGTGCATCTTGAACTTTTTTTTCAAAGAGGAATTCACATGTCACCACTCCACGTACTGCCATTCTGACTCTGGCTCATAGTGGTGACACCATGTCTCATTTCTGCTAATGATGTGATCCAGGAAATTGTCACTTTCAGCCTCATATTGGCTACGTAGGTCCTGACAAACTTGCATATGGTGTTCTTTCTGTTCCTGTGTGAGCATCTGTGGCACCCACCTGGTGCAAACTTTGTGACATTCCAGTGTTGTCACCATTCTTTCCAATGCATTGAAGCCAATATTCAGCTCTGTACACAGTTCCCTGGCTGTAATCCACCAATTCACATGGATGAGCTGATTGAGACACTGTTCATTTCACGGTGTGACAGCTGTGCATGGCCATCCAGAATATGGCTTGTCTTTCATGGCGCTGTCACCACTGCTGAAATGCACCACCCACTGCCTCACTGCACTCACATCCATAGTTTGGTCTCCATAAATGGTCAGCAAGTGTCAGTGAATGTCAGTGGATGCCATTTTTTCCTTGTGGAGAAATTCAAATCTACACTTTTGATTCACTTGCACTTCCATGTCGGACACCATTCTGTCACTGCCCCTCTGCTGCCATCTGTCACACAGCAACAGCATGTAATGGAATATTGGTAGGAAGGTTCAACCTCTACTGCCACACCACCAAGATCTGCCTCTGATGTTGTAGGCCAACACAACAAAACTGGAGGTATTTCTTTTTGAAGTAGCCCTCATAGTTGGAGATTATCCACCAGCAGTCCCAATCCCAGGACAGAAATGCTAGATGTTGGTGATTTCTAAATAATACTGTCCTCTTACCAAACAACAGTAGTTAAATGTACATACATTCTCTTGATAAAACTGTTTAATAATTTTGATGTAATGTAATGATTTCTTTCCTAAAAAAGACTGTATTTTTCATGTTCAGTCATAACATTTCTCAGGTATTAATCACCAAAAATTTTTTTTTTTTTTTTTTTTTAATGCCAGGTGCACTGAATTATAACATGCAGTATTCAGACCACACGAATAGAATTGCATTTTTAATTGCAGACAGCAGCTGAGGACAATACAATTCTAATTTTTATTATATATTCTTTTCACTCTTAAGTCAGAGAGCAATCCAGTAAGTGTTCAATATTCTCATTCTCCAATGATTTTAGCAAAAAAAGCAAAGAGTCCCTTCTGTTGCAGTCAAAACGATCAACAAGATTAAGCTTAACATTTAATAAATTATGCTAATTAAGACATGTGAGTGATTTCCTGTCACACTGTGAAACATATTTGATCATTCAGTATCCCTAACAGGCATTTGAATTTCACAGTTCACACGGCACTGCATGTTTAGATAATTAACCCAGACCACTTCTGACTCCATCTCAAACAATGTGTAAAACAAAATCAGAGCAATTACTTCTACTTAAATGTAATTTCAACTAGATGGTACTTTCTGTTGTAAGATAGTATTGACTAAAAGTAGCATTTCCCAAGTGAATTGTGTCTGATGCCTCTCTATTCTGAACAATTAGGCACTCTGAGCAGTTAGGTTATTCTGAACATCTTAAAAATACTGGAAATGAAAGCAAAATAAGAACCCCCCCCATCCAGTAGGTCCTGTTGTTTCCAGTCTGTGCCCCTATGATACTACTATCAATAAAAGCAGCCTTTCTTTGGCATTTAATAATAGCTCGCTGTCACATGCAGCTCTGCAATATAAGCCATTTAATCGCTCTATTCTATAAACACTTGAAAGCGTAAAGTTCTAACATGACTGTCAAAAACAAAACTGTTAAAACAGCATCCAAAAGGTAATATTAGGCCCAAAACCACATAGCATTTTGTGGCCAGCCTTACACAGAATATATTCCTATCTTCCCACATCCATCTTGGAGCTTCTCCCAGTAAACCTTAAAAATAACTGTTGAACTCCAGCACCTACATCCCTTATTTCACAGGTTTTAACTATAGTAACACTATGCAATTTAGCCCACTTGGGATTCAGACCTCAAGGCTTACAACTGTGGTGGATTTAAGGAGAAAAAAAAAGAAGAAAAAAAAAAAGGCTTTCCTGTCTAACATTCCCACTTCCCAGAGGAGGTTAATTTGTATATAGTGACCATCAGATTCTGGACAGTAATAGAAAAAGCAGTTTTATAAATACCTTTCCACATCTCTGATGCAATGTGTGGAGCCATAGGTGCAACCATAATGCAGAGTGTAGCCAAAGCATCTTCATATTCTGCACTGTGAAGAACAAGAGGCCAAGAAGCTTGCTAAGTGAAAAGAAAAAAAAAAAAAGAAAATAAATTGTAAATATGAATATTTTGGGGTGGGAAGTAAAATAGGTTAATTAAGAATAACATGGAGTAACAAATCATTATTAACTCTGCTGGCGCAGATTGTTACGAGTGCAGCACAGCCTCTTGTTCATTGCTGGTGAAAACACACAGCTAATGGTGGTGAGTATCTTAAAAAATAGCATTTTGTAGCTGAGAATTTGCTTCACCAAGTAGTGTTATTGTGCTCTTTGTAACTGTAGTTTCCTCAGAAATAAATAGGAGGTATTATTTTCAGAGCAATGTATGCATTCTATGTAACAACACCTAAAATCAATGTCTAGGTTCAGGACAATATAATTTTACAATAAATTATGAACTTACAAGCAGTTCTAGAGACCTCTTGGTCACAGAGTGCTCTCTGACACTGTTATAAAGAAGCCAGACAAGCTGGGAAGCTAATGATTCTAATCTTGAAGGGAGCGGTGCTGATAGATCCCTAGGGATCTGCTCTGGCACTGGAATTGAACACTGACCTGCGTGGACATCTGTGGCTGTGAGTAACATTGAGTGCAGCCACATCTAGATGTGCAATCTTGCATAAAATCCAAGCTACCTAAAGAGGTAAACCGCCTCAGACTGATGCATGCAGCATGTTTTTTTGCTGGGATAAGGTTCAATTAGATCAGAACCTAGAGCAGTTCAAGTAAAGCTGAGCTTAGTGGAGGAGCCCTGGGCGCGACAAGCACAACACAGCCTTCTATGGTTTGATGTCCAGATTGCTTTTCAGCTTGTTCTAGTAAAGGTAGTTTTCCATTTCTTGTAAAAGGTGCCAGGCAGGCAAAATTTGAACTTTAACTCCTCTTTTAATCGAAGTAGAAAAGAACAGACTAAAAGCAGCTGGAGAAACTTTCTCTTTCTTTGCCTCTGTTTTGACTCTGATTACATCCATGGTAAGTTCAGATTCCACGTTTAATTTATGATTCATCACCCTAATGAAGCAGCGCAGAAGAATGTCAATACGTGTCAGCTTATGAGGATTACATTATGGGTGTGATGATCCCCAGATCCTGCCTACTAGAAAACTGTCCAAAACCAATGATTGTTAAACACAGACCACAGGAGAGCTGACAGACGGCTGTCTTGTCACTGATACTCATGAGGAAAGCACAAACTAGATTTGAACAAGTTTTAGTAACTACTACCTGTTTTTTCTATATAGAATTTTCACCCATCACTTCCTCCTTTGAAATGGGACTGAAAGAGGAAGTGTCAGCATGCTGTAACAAAATTTGCTCTTGAAAGATACAGCACTGACTTCCTTGATCATGAAATGTAGCAGTGTTCAAATATTTTCCTGTCTGTAGGACACTGATTTTTTTTTTTTTTAAATTCCCTAATTGCCTATTAATCACTGAGCTGGACATAGAGAACTGGGCATCACCTTCCCAGCACCTCACATTATCTCAGATTTTCATTATTTTAGTACAGCACTTGCACATGCCCTAATTTACATTTTCTTATATTCCTCGACTTTGCCAATAATTTCCTTAGAGTCCATAAGATATAAAGTGGTTTATCAATGAAGTAGTCAAGAAATGCAAATTTTAATTTGATTTCTTGTCTTGACTGCATTACCATTATATGTTTTAAGAACTGCTTAAACAGATTTAAGACTAGTAGCAAAGATAAGGATATTTGATCTTTCATTACGAGCTGATAAACACATAATCTAAACCAAAAAAAGCCAAAGAATTGTTATTTTTGTTTGTCTTTGGAACGGGGAATTTACAAACTGTCTCACTAACAGACTGTTCAGTGCTGAAAACCACCTCAGAGGAATACGAGATTAGAGGTTATTTTCCCTGTAAAAAATAACTCTTAAATCAGAATGTTTGATCATCCTATAATGTACTAGTTATGTAGTTACATATACATATTGTTTAAAAACAGAACAAAACCAGAAAAAAATGTATCCTTTTGAAATTACATGATGCAGATGTGACCATCAGAACCTACTGTCTCTAACACTTCCAAGCTCTTCCTGCAAAACACAGCATATTCAAAAGATACAGGTTATATTAGAACATGCCTCTTTTAATCTGAATAGTTCAACTTAGTCTCCATGAGGCTCTTGAGTCAGTAGCAATGGTAATGACACTTAATAACTTTTGGAATTCTGAGCCCATAGTTCAGGCAGCTCTTGCTTTCTAGAAAGACTTAGAGGAGTAATGACTAACAGAAAAATATCTCTGTTCATATGGCATACTTACATGGAGTACGTTAGAAAGGCTCATCAGTCGAGAAATAGCTGCGTTGAACAAATGGTCCTTTGTGAAGTACTCTGTTACCTTGCATTAAAAGAAAACTTCTGTCACCAATTAATTGTAATTTTCAAAAACTGAATATTACCTTTTATATGGAAATCACTTTGGCATGCAAACAAATCATATATGCAACCATATGTGTGTGTGAAGGTCCCTGGCCACAGGATTTACATCAGGGAAAATTTAAGCATAGGAAAATATCTGAAGCTAATTTTGCAGATATTTTTATCTCCTTCTGAGTCTTGCATAACTGATTTGACACTAAAACAAAGTATCAGACTTAGCACAAAAGAAGAGATGAACAATCATTTCAATAATTTTTTAAGAAACACTAATCTATTTTTTCCAACAACTTTCTTCTTTTTCTTCTCATTTTCTATGAAACTAAAGGCATGATAATGAGGTATGAAGCAAACAAACCTATGCAGTTTGTTAGAGATATTCTGCACAATTCACCTATAGCTGGGCTGCTGGCAGTGTAGCTATTTCAAACCCAGACATTTTAATGCCATAACGCTTCATCCTTTATATAAGGCATAGAGTAGATAAATTTTGCCAGTCTAAATCACACTCTTGCAAAAGAGTTCTGTCCCATGAAATCTGCATATTATTAAAATTACTTATATGGAGAATATTTTATTTAAAAATGATTTCATGACTTACTCATCTGTGGGAAAACTCTTGGCCCTCTAAGCCAAGCACACAGTTTTTGCACAAGCAGTAAGTCATTTATTCATTTACAAACTGTTTTTTTTTTTACCTCAGAAATTACAAGATTCTTTTGCTCCCAGATCCTTTTGGCTTCAGCCTTCTCCTTCTTACTCAGAACCTCAGGATTTGGTATGGTTTCCGAAGTCCTTGCCTCGATAAGTTTGGTTACAAGTGTCCAGAGGCGAGTCTGCCATCTCTGCACACCTGGCATAGCATCAGCTGAGATTAATGAAAGATAGCAGAAACAAACAGATATCAGTTGCAATGAAAGAAGCCAAAACTTGGAAGCAAAACTGAATGTTTGCTAGAATTTAACTTAAAAAA